GACTGCATTTAATTCATTGAGTTCCCCATTCTCTTTGATACTATTTCATTGTTATTATTTTTATTTTTACTTATCTATTGATATTTATCTTATCTGAGGTTATTGAGCTGTAATCGTTTCAGTGAAACCGCCTACGGTGACTCCTTCTCCACCGATTGACAATTCAGCTGTGGCGACCAGTCAGTACAGTACGATGCTGTCCGTCACAGTAGCTGTCGGTTGTGGCCTTCTATTCCTGAATATCTGTGTATTCTTCGGTCTATATCGTCAGGTACGTTACTGTGTGAAATACTAATCCTTTAAGTAGTAAGTTTTTTGTTTTGTCATGTAGTTAATACATTTAGTGTGACAAGAATAAGCGATCAAAGAAGAAGTTGCAATTACAGTACCAGACCTACGCTTCGAATCAGGCGTCGGTTCCGGAACAGTACAACACCCTCAACTCACCGGTAATTTGTTCTGCCTGTAACTTCGACTAGACTAATTTTTACTTGAATCAGGCTCTTGTAAGTCAAGGTACTTTGCAGTAGGCGCATGACTGAACCAGACTCACACCGACCGCTTCTACAATGAGAAAGATTTTTCCCTCATTCCCTACCTACTGGTTTCTTCTAAAATGTCTGTGTCCCCAAAATTCTTCTTGGTCTCGTTTGAGTATAACAGATTTTAAGTGATAGGTAAAGATAACTGGTAATTACTAACAAATGCGATACTTTAACTCTGGCTAACCCAATTACTTTCTGCACGGTATTCAGTAATCTGTACTAACATGGTTTCTGAAGGCTTAAACTGTTCAACTAATCAGTGTTGATGAGTTCAGCTTTCACTAATGCCACCTCCACCGCCACCGATTACACTCAGTTCATCGGCGATGCATTCTGTGCCGGTGAACGATGAGATGTTCGAACGGCCAATGTTCGCTCCAACACCGTTGAGCAGCGGTGGAGCAGCGGATTCTGTCAGCAGTAACGTCATTCCACGGCATTCATTCCAGGAACAGGCATGCTACTTATTCTTATCATCAGTGTGTGTGCGTGTTTGTGTATGTGTATGTGCTTGACTGTAGACTAACCTTTCTTACTTACTGGTTGCACAGCTTCAATGGTGTCCTCGATAAAACTCCTGAACTATCATCCATAAAAACTAGTGTGTTGATGTACAGCGAAAGTCTCTTACTCCTGCTCCTGCATGATCCCCGTTATATGAACGAACCCGAAAATCGGTAACCCGGAAATCGGAAATTCGACTCTTTAGCTATCTTTAAGCTGAATTCTCCATACTGTCGCTACCTGTTGTCACTTTTCTCCTTCTTATTTTTGCCTCAGACAGTAGAATACGCGTAATAGTAACCAGTACCATGATCTAAACAGTGTATAAACCTTCTAAATGCTTCTGAGGGAGTACGAACTGTGCCAAAACTTCAGGCGACTACCCTCGGGAATTTGGAGGTGGCCTTTTCGTGAGATATCGCTGGGCCTGCATACGAGAGCTGCTCCCTTCAAAAAAATTTCATTGAACCCTCTCATTTTTTTAGCTGGGTAGAAAATGGTCCATGCCCATATCTGTGGCCATTTGCCCTGTTGAAAAAACTGTGCTATTCAGTCTCATAAAACTGCTAATAAGGGTTGCTTGGGTTAATTATTGAGCATATTCTCGTTTTATAAAGGTTTAACCAATTCAAACTTAGGACTAACGTTAGAAATTTAGAATTATTGTTGAGCCGATGGGCGTAGAGCACTCTGGGGGATCGGGGAAGGGAATAACTACATCCAACAGTGGAGTATTACTACCGTAATGACGTGGGTCGTGCTAGGAGCGCAGGAAGAGCGGTTTTTCTACAGCTAGCTACAGAATAGCCTACAGTTTTTGTTCAAAGAGCCTGTATATATCTTATTTTTGTTAACAAATGTAAACTTGAGATCTCAATTTCAATATTTTCACTTGTAGGAACCGCTCCTGTCTGCATCCCACAAGGCCGTGCGTGCCGGAGTGTCACCATCGTGTCCACGTCATGGTCGAGCAGTACTGTCATTACATCCGTCTCGAGGTAGTCTGACTTCATCCGGAAATGCACCCACACTTGAGGAAATACAAGTCTAGCTCTGGTATCAACCCCGGTCTTTGAATTGTTCTCGCATTTATTGTTTATTAGCGAGCCGTTCGATTCGCTTCATCGAAATTTTTTAGATAAACTTTTATTGTTTAGCTTCTTTTATGAAGAACTTTTACCTGGTATTCGTATGGCTCATTACAATGTAATAGTACTACTTACTTTTATAGACATATAAATTCATCATCCTTTATATGACGATCTCTCTTTTTCCATACTGTGCCTGTACTGGGTATTTTTTATATGATTTTTTTTTGTTTCATCAATACGACAAGTTTGAAATATCGGCTTGTAACATATTGAGTCTTTCAATATATCATGGTCACATCATGCACATGAAAATTTGTATAAAAGAATATATTGTTGCAATAAAAGTGATGTTAGTATTCTTTTGACTGGAAATGCTACTGGTTATGCAAAAGATACGAAAATCGCATGAAAAAAAGTCCGTTTAAGATGTCCTTTTTGAACGTTCATAGATTTTTTCGAGAAACCAGCCTTTTAACAGCCTTTGTCGCGAAATGAAAATAGAACTTCCTGTATAGTTCAGAAATTGGCTTTTCAGAAGCTCTCATCCGTAAAATGCAGATGTCCCCATGATTGTATGATGTTTTGACTCTGTAACCCTAACCCTACTCTTCAAGGACTGTGCGTGCACGGCGTTCAGGACAATCAGGGAGTGATGTGAACCTCTTCCTAGGAAAAGGCGCATTGGGTAAGGGGTCATGATCGAGGGTATAGGGTAGGGCGGTGGCTGAGTGTGTGTCGCAGGACTCACTACAGTAAATCCTGTCTGGTTTTATGCTAGAAAAAGAAAAAAGAGTCAAATAAAGCAAGATCAAACCTTGCTTTCACGGTTGATATCAGCTGATTTGGAAAGGTCTCGAGGACCAGGATGCAGAGAGAGTGTGGGGGCGAGAGGGACTAGAGGACATCAATAACCGAATCACTTGCTCCGAGGCACAGGTCAGTCGGATGCGTATCATGGAGCGCTGTGGAAGATGCCTTGGCATGTGAGTGGACTCTCGCAAAGGTTGTGTGCGATACTATCGCCGAGTAATGGGGTCACGCCGTTCTCGCGACCCGCGACCCGCGACCCATTGCGATTAGGATTCACACCTTCTGTCGTGTGCATGCAATGACACCACAGTAGTGGGACTTCAAGGGGGAGGCTTCGTTACCCGTCTGGGACTTTGGTTCGTTTTTCCTCTAAATTCTTCAGTCCGTGGGTGAGTTTCTTTTTAAGATATGTTTCCTGCGATTTTGATCCTCATTTTCTGACGACGGAGACGAAGTGATCCCAATTACTGGGAATAGTTATCATGAAATTAGCCTTCACCCATGCCTCGCAATGTTCCGCCGATAGCGTCATTCTATGCGCAGTCGCAGCCACATTATGCGGCGTGACCAAATTATCCCCGCGATAGAATAGCACGTTCACCCTCAATCATGACGGATCCCTAGTGTTTCTCGTGCTTCGCCAGGGAAATACGGTATCGCTGGCTTATTGATTGGTTTTTTTCAAACTTTAGCTTATTTCTGATCAAGGTTGATTTGTCTATATCTTCCCCAAAAAGGGGCACCTCGACCCTTCAGGAACCTACTCTCTTGCCGGACCAATCATTAATATGAAATTAATTTTTGGCAGCTTCTTTGAAGACCAGCAATTTTTTCTTCAGCTTTTCGATTAATTTGGCTATGGTTGATTTTCGTACATACATTTGGAATGTTTACAATCAATAATAGACTTCAATTACTGTATTTAACAGTTGCGCCTTTGTTTTGCCCATGAACAACACTTTGTTTATCTCTTGATATTTAACTATATGATCTGCGTTTGTGATTTGCTGTTGCAGTCATAGTTGCCACCCATAGATCGAGGCGTCTACACCCGAAATGAGTATTAAAAAAGTTGAAATATGTGACCGAAAGTCACTGTGCATATACAAGTATGGCTACAGTAGGATACATGTTACGGCAGACAGTTGTCAGATTCCGTCTGGATATAAAACTATCTAAGGGCTTGGTTGAGCATGATTCAGCAGTTTTTAAGCGTAGGAAACCACGAAGCAGTCTTCTAGCATAGAACCGTTCAAAGGCATGCCGAGTAGGTCAGCTTAATGAGAAATAGTTAGTCAACCACTTAATACCAATAATTTTCACAGTGCTGTTGCGCGCGGGGTCAGAGGGTGGCGCTAAACATGAGCTGGCAGCGAAGATTGAAATATCTTGTTTGTGATTTAGAACTAAAACAAGGCTTTGAGAGAAGAACGCTTGAAGTAACTTCGTTTTTTTTTGTTGAGAAATCTTCTATTTTTCAAACGCTAATCCAATGTTATTCCCTCATCAAATCAATTATCGATTTTTGCGCCAACCCGACAATCCAGTCTAGCCGCACTCTATAATTCGAATCAGTCTGGTACAAAATGCACGGTTTTGTAATAACCAGACACCTTCTCTGCAAGTTAACGATTTCGATCTTGTACATTCGTTGAAGCTGTGTAACGCGGCCCAAGTGAATTACTGAGTGGCTAGCTACTCAACTAAGAACACAATCAAATAAAAAATACCGTCCAGGAACCCACAACTTACACAAAAGCTATACATGAATGATTGTTCTGAACAGGTAACTGTTTGCACCTTTATTTGGGCGTCAATCTATCACAAAAACTCGATTGGGAACGTGATAAGGGAAACCAAATTGGGGGTGATGATCGAGGTGGTAAAGTTCTAGGGCATCATCGAGAGACTGGGAACGTAGGGCAACGGGGTGGCTGGTGGGCGAAAAGGCAAACGCTCTCAGATGACATTGTATGGCGTAGGTGGAGCGGCGGATAACGACGAGCAGAGCTGATTATATTCCTGGCAAACCAAAACGGCTACGTACAAAAATGTCTACTTTCTTCCGGAAGGAATAAAGTGAAAGTTGTCTCCTCCTTGTGGTGACGCCATATATTCGGCTAACGATAGTCCCATAGACGCTGAAATGAGATGGCATAAGTATAATAGATGAGCTGAAAATAAAATGCAAATGATGTTAAAGATTTTGACGACATCGAAAGGAAATTTCGCTTTATTTTCGCATAACTCTGTGAATTATTTTCGCATTTATATGTACGATTATAATGCCATTCTTTTATTTTGGTGTAGGTGGTGTAGTGGCAAGAGGCGCACTATTATTGGCATGGTGGGGGATCGAATTACGGGTTGATATTCGCCCAGGCCTTCCAATCTTCCCATGATTTGGACTCCATTAATTGGTAACAGACTCGTCGGGGAGGATAAGCACTGACTTTACATCGGCTGACCACCACAAGTCATTGTATAGGCTGAATATGTATGTACATGCATTCAAGCTACCACTATAATTCTGAAGGGGAATCGAATGAGGCTCAAAACGGGATTGACTGGCTTACAAGATTGGCGAGTTATGGATATAACTTCGCCTCGAACGGGACTCGAACCCGTACTTGCGCTTTGCGGGCACCGTGCTCTATCCGTTACACTACCGAGACCCCTCTTGCCCTCGTCTTCTTAATGACCTATATACCATAGCTTATCAGCAGTCACAACGCGTTGAGCCGGTCTGCCGATATCAGCGCTAAGCTGTAAGCTTTTACTAGTTATAGCTTGTTTTGACTTGATGTTTTGTCAACTGCTATTATTTCACCGCAGTTTGCGTTCCGAAAGTCCCACAAGGTTGCAATTTGTGGACAAAACTTCTGTCTCGGACGGGACTCGAACCTGTACTACTACTACCGAGACCCCGCTTGCCTTCGTCTTCTTAATGGCATACTTACTTACTTGTAGCTTTTTCTTCTCTTACTTTGCCTACCCGTTATACGATAGAGAATGCAGGAAGGTTTACTAGTGGGAGGTTCTAGCACAGGTCTCGACTTTACAAGAATAATAAACTTACGACTTCGTTTCGACTTCAATAATACCGTTCGGTATACTCGTGACATAAGCTGATCAATATTTGCATCCTCAACCTGAAACGAGAAGGTCTTCATATTGCTCGGAATCAACTCCTTCCAAAGCTGGAACGAACTGATCTCACCCCATCAGCCCATGCGAATGCATTCAGGATACAAGCTAGAACGAGAACTGCGAACATTGTCCACTTCATCATTGTTACCTGGAAGTTACTTTTGAAAAATGTATAAAAATTCTTGCAGCTACGATTTTTCCGCAGAATATTTCAACCAACTTCTGCTACTGATTCATATAGAAGTACGGAACCCGTTTCAATGAAGAAAGAAAAGGAAAAATGAGGTGTGCCTAAGTTACGGAGTGTCACAGCAGATGTCGAAGTTTGGAAGTGCCTTAATGAGGGGGTAAAAGATGCGCTGACTGGTCCCCTCCCATTTCGACCCGTGCCGTCGTCTTTCCCGGTTCATTGCATCCCATGTCCTCCGAAGCAACAATCAAAGTCTCTTCTCATCAGACGAACAAAATCCTCCAATTAGACTCAACTTCTGTCGTCATCGCCCTTTTTTAAGAACCTCGAGAAGAGAAAAACGCAAACCGCAACGTCATTTATGGAAAAGCGGGATTTCCGATACTGAAGGAAAAAAAATCTTCTATATTGGGGTTATCCCGATTGGGAACGGGAGCTTCTGAGCTAAATATCTTAGAGAAACGACGATAACTAAGAGACTGACTGAGCTAATAGAATGCTATAAGTGAATGAGTCGGGGGGAGGTTTATATAGGAGATGTTGACGTGATTAGTTAGCCGAAACACATATGGGTCCTTTGTACGTGGATATGGCCCATATCTAATGATAACTCAATTAAACACCCGATTGCATAAGCGTCAGCAATATCTCTCAAAAATATATATTGTATGGGTGTTCATAGGGAAAATTGGGGAGCTCAGCAGTGGTTGCTAAGATTCCCGTTTTAGCCATTACCAAATGCCACTACCGCAAAGAACTCGTCCATCCTTTTTGTACGGATCGATAAACGTTCCAGGGCATTTCTGTCGTACACATTCCTTTCAAGACTGACGGAAAAGAAGTATTTGGGGCATCATTTGAAATTTTTCAAAAGCAGTAGATGAAAAAAGAACGATGTTTTGCCTTTTTTCGATAGAAAAGGACCACCGCCCTTTTTTTAAATGAATGTTTTACGATATAGAAGAACATGAAAATTTATTGAAAACGACTCAAATGGCCTGAATGAATTCCAATGGTAGCGTGTTGAGAATGAAACATAACAAGCTGCCCGTTTTGCTATTTACATTGTCTCAGACGTACTGTGGATATCAAATTTTATGATGTCACAATTATTTTAGAACAGCTGTAAAAATTGTTTTGTCAACGGTGGCCAATCAATAGGTGGACAATGAAAGACCAGTTTTGCAAAATTCATTCCCCTAAAGCAATTGACATAGAAATATTTTACGGATAAGGTTCAGCTCGTTAGAATTCTGGGGAAAAAGGGACTAGAGAGGAGTAGACGGTTTTTCGGGATTAATTCAGAGGCGGTGGATTTCTAAAACTGCCTCGTATGAGATCAAGCGGCACTGAAAACTTTTTTTCTTGAAAAACTGTTTTGAATAAACTTTGAAACTGGACTGAAAACTAAAAAAATAAATTTTTTAATGGATGAACTCAGCAGAATTTATGAGTTCTACCGTATATGAACAAGCAGCCTAGAACGGTTACCACAAAGGCCAGAAGTGAGCCGAAGAACTTGACCTAACTTGTTCAGTTAGAGGTACTACTGCGAATCTATACAGTAGTTTTGTAACCTCGTCTGAATGGTTACAGAGAGGGTATAATCAGTGTAGTACTTCTTTCAGCACCTGAGGGAATTACAAGGGCTAATTTCTTTTATTTGAGGTTAATCCTAATCATAAATTCATTAAAAGTGACGGAACGTGCCTTTCATTATTACCGAACTTTTACGGTTTCATTAGCATTAGTGACGTTACTCGAGTAATGGTAAAGTTCACTATAGGTACATTAGACTTTACTTTAACAAGTCGAAAATTCTCGATAAACACCAGACATTCATTATCCTATGACCAGAAGCTTGTTCAATCTACAGGTGGAATGGGGCTCTTACGTAACAGGTTTATTTATCAAAACGGAGTAATGCTGCAGTACAGATCAGACGACTTCAAAGTTCATTGAGAAGGTCATGTCCGAGAAACAGTATGAGGTTTCCATAGTCCTGTTACTTTACTGGAATGATTCCTTTTTGCTGGGAAGTACGTACATCGTTAAGACATTTGCCATTCAACTGACGTCAGTGAATAAGCGTTGATTTATTGGTGGACAAACTTCGAGACCCATCTTGTGGGAAAGCAGATTCCACAACTGAGGACAAAGTCCCCGTTTAAGCAGAGAGTACTTAATTTTGAAGCTATTTTTTATAGATTCATATCGTTTTTCAAAAAATACTGGAGTTAAAATTTGCTGGGGAAGTGGATACACAGACTTTTATATAGACAGTCTTCTGTGGCTTGCACAGAACGAATTTACTAACAGTTTGTGGTTTTGTGTCCCAAGTACGAGTCATAATTCCGAGAATAGGAGGTCTTATAGGTCTCTATCTATATGACTAAGACAAGCTACTATAACAACTGAGACTTACCATTAAAGATAAAGTATCCGCAGAAAAATCGCCAAAAGATTGATCAGCACAAAGTGAGTAAGTAGATGATCGATTCTCAGAAGGTTCTGGACTAACTCCCAGAGTATCGGCCACCGCGAATGCAAATTAATCAAAAATGTTCGGATTTTAATACGCTGAATCATTTCCGATCGAACTTTTCTTATAGTCTCCGAACGCAACATAGTTTAAAAGAGGGCGTCTGCTGAATAACTATACCGGAGCAGTGCTTGAAGCGTTGAAGAAAAGCTTCTCCAAACTTCCTCTTCAGAAATTTCTGTTTCATATGCCAAAATATTCCATAGGAAGACTTCCCATGCGTACTTTATAATGGTCATAAAATGCTTCAAAAAAGACGTCCCCCCCCCCNTTTTTTCCACGTAGACGTTTCTCAATACTTCTAACCTTTGGAGTCTTTTCCCACCTTTCCTGTTGGATCGCCCTCATGAAACCTCATGAAATTCAGCGTGGTAGATCGAACCAGTTCAGTTTCCTTCCCTACTCTCTGGATACAACAAATTATCTAGTATTTGGTATACTTTTGCTATTTTTAGTATTTATTATTTTTACCTGTTTTAGTATTCAGAAGCCCTTAACTACAAAGTGCTATAATATGAATCCGATATATACTGAATGGTACAAAGTTTCTAATGCTTACGGTTTCATTTTACTTTTTACAATCATATGGATTGTATGAGAGGAGCAGCTTCGAGCTCTGGCGACCAATTTCAAATTTCAGCGGCTTTATTATTTAGCTATTATCGCTATAAATAGTTATTTTCAAAACAAACTGCCTGAGTGTTCACATTGACAGGTGTGGCTTGACTAATCATGCTCGAGAAGTTATTTTTCGTGTTTATTTTAAATCAAGCATGACAGAAGAGGGATAACCAGATGGGTCAAGACCTCGCTAAAAGTCATTATTTTCTACGAGCTCTTCAGGGCTACTTTAATAAAATTATTAAAAATAAGCCTGGTCAGATGTCGGTCGATGTGTGATCCTTAGTATTATTGACCACAGATGACTTATGAGGGACAGGATACCACAATTCAGAGAACTAGTTGGATAAATAGCTTTAATGAAAGAAAAAGTAAAATAGGATTAGTATCTAGGAAAAACTTTAGTTAGGAGGCAGAAGGTAACTGCTACCATCAATTACTACTCATTGGGAATGAATGAGCCCTTTTTTACCTTTGTTAAATGCCTTTTTATACAAGAGTTCCATTGAAGTCTTAAGGGAAGTGGCCCATTTAGGAACAGGGTCTAAAGGAACGATGAAGTGATGGACGTGGAGGAATAAAG